GACAAATCCGATTTCACAAATTGTGATTAGTTTCTATAAGCCCCACTTGGAGGGTTGACAGGATCTTACCTTGGTTGTCACACTGAGCGTCTGAGACGCAGCAGAAAAATCAAAGTGCATTAAGCAGACTGAAAGATATGACGGTCATCAGTAACTTGAAAAGCACATTTTGTGGAGTCCTGGTGGGAAGGAATATGAATATACCTCCTTACATAATAAATATGCATGTCCTTTTAAAAATAGCTGCATTTATCAAGATGAAAATGCATCATAAATGTCCATCTCAGAATCAGAACCATATATAAACTTCTACTTAGTAAACCCAAATTAAATTTACGCTTTCAAAAGCAATGCAGAAATTTAAGGGCATAATTTACTCTGGCTCTGAAACATTTGCCAAATCCCAAAATTTTGTTAATACTTCTGTATGGTAATATTAATAAATAAAATAAGTTTGTTCATTTTTTTAAAGACCTGTGAAGGAAAACTTCTCAAGAAGATGTTATCTGAAAAGAATCCCATGGAGCAAAGACCTAAGTCATTACCCATTGTGTTGTCGAAGGTTTTCATGGCAAGAATCAATGGATTGCTGTGAGTTTTTCGGGCTGTATGACTATGTTCCAGCAGCATTTTCTCCTGATGTTTCGCATACATCTATGGCAAGCTTCCTCAGAGGTATGTTCAGAGGTCTGTTGGAAATGAGGCAGTTGTAGTATATATATATATATCTGTGGAATGTCCAGGGTGGGAAAGAATTCTGTCTGTTTGAAGCAAGTGTGAATGTTGCAATTAGCAAGCTTGATTAGCACTGAGTATCCTTTCACTGGTACACCCACAAAGTAGAGTCCACAATATGCAAACGTGGAGAAGAGCAAACCACAGACCATCTGCTTTAATGCAGTCTGAGCTCTGCCACTGGCACAACGGAAGACCTTCTTATAGCAACACCAGAGGCACTCCAAGTGGCCAGCTACTGGTCAAAGGACATTTAATATAATGCCAAGTTTTTTTTAAAACTTGTGTTTTTTAAATACATTACAACTGTACCTTTGGTTCGCTCCTGATACAATAAATAAATAGCTGTACACTCCTGGCTGTTGTGCTTGGAGACATCCTCTGTTTGGGAGGTGTTAACTGGCCCTTGATTGCTTGCTGCCTGGAGTTTTCCTGTTGCTGAGTGGTGTTGTTTATTTACTGTCTTAATTCTGGTGTTTTTTAAAACTGGCAGTCAGATTTTGTTCATTTTCATGGTTTCTTCTTTTCTGTTGAAATTGTCCACATGCTTGTGGATTTCGATGGCTTCTTTGCGTAGTCTGACATGTTGGTTTTCAGAGGGGTCCAGCATTTCATGTTCTCAAATAATAATATGCGTCCAAACAGAAAAACTGGTGATTTTGTTGGTTGGATGCTGTTTTAGTTTCTTGTATGTTATGGGATCCAGGAGTTGTCTGGTTTTTTTCTTTATATTGCTCTGTTTTCATGTTTTACCGTGACATTCCCCTCTGCTGGGAGAATGATGATTTCTGGATCTGAGCTGAGGTCTTTGATGGCTTGTCTTTCTTTTTACTTGGTCTATTATTGGGGGGAAGTGTTGCCTTTCTCAGGATCAAGGAACATGACATGCACTGCAGACTAACTCAACCAGAGACATCAGCTATAGCAGAGCACTTGACAAGCCAACATGGACACATAATATTATTTGAGAACACAGAAATGCTGGACCACTCTGAAAACCATCATGTCAGACTACACAGAGAAGCCATTAAAATCCACAAGCATGTGGACAATTTCAACAGAAAAACAAAAAAACAATGAAAATGAACAAAATCTGGCTACCAGTATTTAAAAAACACCAGAGTCAAGACAGTAAATAAAGAACACCATTCACCAACAGGAGAACTCCAGGCAGCTAGCAATCAAGGGCCAGTTAACACCTCCCAAACAGAGGATGCCTCCAGGCATAACAGCCAGGACTGTACAGCTGAAAGGCCACTCAGTGCTAATCAAGCTTGCTAATTGCAAAATTCACCCTTGCATCAAACAGGCAGAGTTATTTCCCACCCTGGACATTCCACAGATACATATACACTCCAACTGTCTTATTTCCAACAGACCTCTGAACACACCTCTGAGGAAGCTTGTCACAGATGTAGGCAAAACATCAGGAGAAAATGCTACTGGAACATGGCCATACAGACCAAAAAAACGCACAGCAACCCAGTCATTATACAGTCTAAATAAAGACTGATGGCAATGTCTTGTCACTTAAAAGGAGGTATTAACTTATAATATTGGGGAGAAGAAAATGAGATGCAACATAGGAAGAACCCAAGACACATAGATTTTGCATCTGTCACTAAATGAGCAACAGGGAGAGAAAGAGAGAGCGCTAACTGTAATGGCAAGCAGCTTCATTCCTTCGCTGACCCATAAGCTCTGATTCCAAAAAAAGAAAACTCCCCATCATCTGATGACAACACCAAAAATACAAGCTATTCCATGAAAGGCACATTTTCCCTCTAACCTCAATCAAGTCAATTATGTTGTCCCATAACATGATAATGTTGAGAGAGAACCATATGGAAGTGCCTGTCCCTTGGCAAGCTGCTTTCTCACACGCAAGTCATGGGATTGATTCAAAGAGCATAAGAAGATTCTACTGTTTCTAGAGGTCATGCTGGAAAGGCCTAGGATAAAGGAACCCAAGCCTTTCACCTCAAAGAGAACAAAACACCACTGCTGCCATGACTGGGGCTCCGAGAAAGAATATGGACTAACTGAGCATTCTAAGATGGTTGTAAATACGTGCTTCTCTTTTATAAAAGCCCCCTGCAGTTTCCATTCACCTATTACACTATCAAGTTATACAGAATGTATCTGTCCTCTCTCTGAGAAAAGTTATCATGTATGCTACAAAAACATAGAGGCTAAGATTCTAATACTGGAACTGTGGATTTCTCCAGCCCATCAGGGGATGAACTTTAGCCCTGTTGACTAGAGGTCAGGAGTTTATAGTGTTTCCAGAACACATTTATAATTTTTAATGAGCTTAATCAGAGATCTGAAGCTGAGAATGGTTGAGTACACATGCATGGCAACAGCCCTTATGTATCTTAGAGATACCCCAAGCCAATGACGATTTATTCCATCAGTTATGATGCCCTCTTGTCTCCCTTCAACCACAAAATAAATATTCAACATAAAGGAAAATGTGTTAACAAGAATTGGGTTTGGCTTAAAATACAAATTTTATTTTCAGTATAAAAACAAACATTTTTACAAAGAAAATACAAAGTATGCCCTTAGGATTGCATTACAAAATAAAGTGCTAAAGGTGAATATGAGATGACAGAAACAATCTGGAAGTTGTAGCAACTGATAGTTGAGTAGCCAAATAATTCAGCAGGGATTTGAGACTTCCTCCAAAGTGGGTGTGCTACATAACAGACCACTCTCAAAAACTTCAGCTCAAGGCCATTCATGATACTAGCATGCTGTGGGTTCTCTCCACTTGTTTGCGGAACTGAAGCCTAGAAAAGAAAGCTGGCATCCTTAGCAACAGATGTCCTTTTGTGACATCCTACACATTCTAGAATAGGGCTGACAATATGAAATAGCAGCACTACTTCCACTATCAAAATGATATCTTTATCTTGCTGGGAGAGCTGTTTCCACTTACCTCTGACCTATTTTACTTGATCCCAACCACACTGAAATACTCTACTACAGCACTAGAGGGAGTAAATTTAACTGATGTGAGTGAATGACTGAAATTTTAAGTTTTCTCTGTGTGTGAAGCAAGAGGTGAGAACATGTTTTAGTATGTGGTACATGCCAGAAAATTTATACTGAATATCCTAAATAATGTGAGCTGGACAGCATTTTCTAACAGGTAATTACCATTCAGGTAAGACTTCTTTATTACTTGGACATCTTAGGCAAATGTTTTTAGGAACAGATCATATCAACAGCAGATGAAATGGTCAATAACATCTGCACAGTAACACTTCATCTCAGATGGAGGCTGCACTGATTGAAAACTCCTGCCAAAAATCTTCTGGACATTTAAAAAATGCCATGGATTGCTACGGAAAAGTGCATTTGACTTGGTTCACCCTCCAATATGCAGAAGAATGCACCCCAATGCTTTCATTGGAAGAGCAGAAGGGAACTTGGCCTTTGAAATACTTTCAACTTGCAGTATGACATATTATTGTACTGGAGCAGATTTCGCCACTTCATCTGGTGCGTATGTGAAACAGGCCTTACACTGAAAATAATGTAATGTCAGCTTCCTGGGCCAGTGATTCCCAAGTTATGTTCTGCAGGTATTTTGGACTTCAATTTCCATAATCTGACCATTGGCCAAAGTGACTGAGACTGCTGGGACTTGGAAATCCAAAACATCTGGAAGACCATAATCACTGCCATATGTTTATGTTTTAGATAAAAAGAACTCACGATGCTCCACTTTACATGGTATGCATACTGGCTTTGCAAAATTTTAATCAGCATACAGAACAATGCATTTTTGAGTTAACATTCAACATTAGTTAAAAGATAGGTGAGATGGGGAAGTCATTATGGTCCAGGCATGAATAGGGGAAGAATGAACAGAGAGCCTTGGAGACCTTGAAAAGGACACACCTTAACAGAAATTGTTCATTTCCAAACACATCTCCGTAATCCTAATCTCAAGAGATGTTTAAACAGAAGGACACAAGATTCTCAGAAATCTGAGCTTTCTGGTAACATACTGGAATCTGCATAGCGCTATGCATACTTGATTTCTGGGGGGAGGGGAAAGATCGCTCCAAAAGGTAACTGGAAATACGCAGACAAAAGAGGGATGAAATGTGAGACAGTCAGTCCCACTTGTCTACTGGCTGCTGGGTTCCCTCAAAAGTACAAAAGGAAACCACTGCATAGACTGCTAGCTTCCCTGGAATGGAAAGAAGAGCAACTGTGTATTGAGCTCTCTTTCCTTTGCTTTTACTTGCCATTAATTAGCTCCAGGGCCTCCTCCTTGCTCCGGGTGATCTTATCCTCCCTCCATGATGAGGGCCTCCTAGATTGGTTATGTTTCACCAAGAGGTGTGAGCATCGCACTTTCGTAGGTTCCCCTTGCCCATTCTTGCTGTTCCCAGTGGGGCGCTCCCATTGGCTGGCATTTGTAATGTGATTGAAATAATACACACGGCCTGCAAATAAAAAGAAAAGATTTTAGTTGTCACATAAAAGAGATCCATCAAGAGTTCTGCTTCTTCCCAAGATGTATCATCTATGACTTCCTGCGATTGTTATTTTAGTTTCAAAGTATCTTTTTTAACATTTAACCAACTCTCCCTTTCTTCACAACCAATCTATAAGTTTTACTTCCAACAATGCCAAGGACAAGAAGCTCAAGACTGTGCTTTGGGGCTGGCTCCAAAATTGCTGCTTGTACAGTTTGTATTTTATTGCTTATTGCTTCATGACCAACACAGTTGCCCATTAATATTTTTCCTGGATTTCAATATACTACATTTACAGACAAATTCCAAATAAAGGGAAACCAAAAGACTGATGCAACTCTTGAGGTATTCTATCTTCAACAGAAGTGCAATCCTTTATGTGAAAAATTTGACACTAGAATTTGATGTTATATCTATGCAGCACTTAAAACATTTTCCCAGATATAATAGTACAGAGACTCCTTGAAAAATTCGAAGTTCTCTTCCTAAGAAACAAATAGCTAGTTTTGAGAAGAGCAGGGAGATCTGGATCACAGCGGAAGTCACTTTTCTGTTCCTATGGGAGTTGGAATGTTATTACCTGTCTTTTATTGCTCTGGGTTTTTAAGATCAATTCAGGGGATGCTTTGTTTTTAACTCTGAATATGTTTTAATGTTTTTTAACTGGAAATTTTTAATACCATTTATATTTAATTCTGTTTTAATGTTTGCTTATTTGTATATTTTAAATTTTATGTTAATGTTTTTATGTCAAGCTGCTTTGAGTCTCCTGCAAAAGAAATAAAGCAGGGTATAAATAAATAAATAAGGTAAAGGTTTCCCCTGACATTAGGTCTAGTTGTATCTGACTCTGGGGGGTGGTGCTCATCTCAATTTCTAAGCCAAAGAACTGGCATTATCTGTTGACGTCTCCAAGGTCATGTGGCCAGCATGACTGCATGGAACACCGTTATCTTCCTGCAGAAGCGGTACCTCTTGATCTACTCATACTTGCATAATAACAGTAATGACAACAACTACAGTCCTCATGTGGCTAATAAGGACAGTAGCCTCTGGCTGCACTGAAATTTCTCAATACCAATTTAACTTGAGAATACTTCAGGCAGAATGTAGATCTGTGAATCTAACGTTGCCATCATTTTTATCCTATATGATTTTTAACACATTTTCCTGTTGAAGAAATTAGTAAAACTTCCAAAACTTGCAAAGTGTATTTTATGCTTTGCAACTGATCCAAAAAAAGAAAAAGATACTGCTGCATATCAGTTTAGTCTTTTATTGTAACTACCTTGTTATGTTTCTGAATATGTAAGGTGAATATGCCTGAAATAAAATAAAATAGCATGATCAGTTTCACTGGCAAGTCTTCCTCTATCCCTGCAAGGTCATTAGACCACCAAGAGAAGGTACAAGAAAAAGAGGTCTTATTACTAAGTCTTTTGTATGAAGAGGTAACTCTGGAAGAAGAGAAACCTTCAAATACCAAGCCAAGGCATTTTTAAAGCCAAACACAATACCATAAATTTATTCCGGAAATAAAGTGGCAGCCAACAAAGCACTTGCAATATGAAGCATTGTCTTCCACATGCTAGTACTGATTAACAGCTAGCTGCCACATTTTGGACTAGTTACAGGTTCTATATTATTTTGAAAAGGAAACCTCCACAGAACATTAAAGCAGATTATGCCTCTAGGACCCCAAGCTTTGCACTGTTCTTTGTTCTCAAATATTTAGAACAGAACAAGCTATGTGGACATCATCCTTTCATAAATAAATAGTTCCGCCAGTAACTACCAACCTTTGTAGGGGCAGGGGGGTGTTTTGGTTCTGTTAAATAAAGTATTCCTGCTGGTTGTCTTTGCCTATGGACAGAGGCCATCCGTAGATTAGAGTATCATGAAGTCTACTAGGTTCCACACCTAGATTTTAAATTAGCATTTAGTGTGCTCTAATCAATATCGCAGGCAATCACTCATGAACAAGTATGACTATCTTCCAAAGGGAGAGTTTTTCATTGTTTTTAGTTTGCTTGGAAGACGCTTGTGCATATGTGGGGATTGACAATCTTCACAGAAAGAAGTTCTATTCCAATGCATGGATGTCATGACAATTGGTGACCTTTTATCTGTTGCAGTCTTTTTCCACCCTCACAGCCGTTGTAACATGTAAAGTGATGCATAACAAATATATACATACACACCACAACTTGGAAAATCTGGTGCAAACTCTCTGTTCACACAGGGCAACAATTGTGACAAACAGCTTGGTTGGTACTCCATGTGAACTGAGAACACCAGAGAACATCACAATTCATTGTAGAAATCTCTGCAATGCAGAGAGATTCTGTTGCAGACAAATCACTGCAAATGATCCCTTCAGGACAGAAAGTATGAAAAACACTGGACTAGAGAAATGCATGGCTGCCTCTGTATGTTTAATCTGAGCAAATGTTTATAAAAAGAGGACTTATTTTAATCAAGGCCTACTCCCCACAAGCCAGTGTTTAGAGGTATCTTTCTGACCTCTTATTTATCTGAGAAAGCCTGCAAGATGCCGGATTTGGCAAGTGGAAGAACTGCAACATCAGTTCAAAATCTAAAAGTACTGCAGAGCCTGAAAGCAATTCCTTTAAGAAGAGAAATAATATCAAAGTCTATGTGTTTTCTGTACACACATACTTTCTTCCTCTGCCCATTTACTAGAGCACAAAACAGGCATATTCTCAATACTTAAACATTTTCATTTCTAGTATAACTACCTCTTGAGGTTTGAAAATCCCTGATTTTGCTCAAATTACCACTTGATAGCAGCTGCTACAAACAAAGCTACCCATATTGATTTTTCAGTTGCTTTGGAGCAACCATGTAGTGATGAAAAGCCCTAATGAAAGGGTGTTAGCATTAGATGGCCAAGAAAGCAGTTTTAGGTCCACTTTACTGATGTCAGCAGTCTTCCTCCTGCACAAAACAGAATTAATCTGTATACCATCAAGTAGGAGATATGTGCACTGCATAATCCTGGAGAAGGCTGTTGAGAAAGGAGTATGTACATCTGCAGTTTGTCAGAGCCACATGACTACACCCTTTCTTCCAGTACATACCTCTCCAAAATGACTATTTTAGTTTTGCTCTGAAGATAAAGTATAGTTGGTATTTCTGATACAGAGCAGAGAAAGCTACCTTGTCTCTTTACCCAAAGAGATTAAGAACAAATAAATCCATATAAAAAGAGGATGAAAAGCCTGAACATGGCAAAGACTGATATTGCTTTTCAAACATACTGCAGTAAAAAGGTTGAGCATCACAACTGAAATTCAGAAAGATTCAATGCACCTGAGTACCTTCAACTTTCAATTCACTGCCTAGAATTCAAAGTATTTTACTATTGCTGACTTTAGGTTTCCTTTTCAAAGCTCCACATTAACTCAAACATTATCAATTCCCAGTTACATCTGTTCTTCAGCTTCAGTTTGGAAAGCTTTAATGTGGGCCATCTTGTTAAGGCCAATAGGTGTGTTTTATCTACAGTACCATGCTCATTCAATAGAGTGCTTGGTCACCTATGCTTCACTGCTAATCCAAGACCTCTTTTGTTATTGATGGGACCACTACCAATCACTAACATACACCCTCGTTTTCGTATCTATTTCTTTGTCTTCCTTAGGCACTTTCTGTTCTGGAAGCAGCAGAAATATGCTGTTTTAAAAAATATTGTTGTCTCAAGTGCTATCTCGGGCACTACTCAGTTTCTTAATGACTCTTAACTTTCATCTAATCTGAGGCAACAGCAACTTGGATGAGTGTTTGTGGCAAACTGGAACTGTCTTCAGGCCAGGAAGCATGTGTAAACAAGAAGAGAGCTGGAAGGCATTTCTCCCTTTATATACCACATAATAGAGTTCTTTAAAAAAATAATAGTATGATCCTAGCTGCTAACAGAAAATCCAGCTCTCCTTAAATGTCTAGTTGTTGCTTCGATTGGTCATGTCACCTGCCACTTGCTTGTAATGAACAGCAGGTTCAAACTGAACAGTAGATGTGGACATGTTCTAAAGTAAGGAGGGCCATTTTCTGTTCCTGGAAGACCTCAGAGGACTACACAACACCACCATGGCAATAATTTTAAGCAAGCAAAGACAATATTCATTCACTCCTGATTGTTGGACCTGGCATTTTTGTTGTTGTAGCTCTTTCTCTCCAGTTGCATTTTGAATTTAAAAAAATCACTCACCAAAAGTGAGGGTGGAGCCTGAAAAAGAAGGAGGAGGGATAAAGCTCTAAGGGTCCCACAAGTCCCCTACAGCACTACATACAGCCCATGGCTTGCCAGATTCCCAGCCTTGAAGTATACAGATACAGGTTGAGTATCTCTTATCTGCAATTCTAAAATTCAAAACTGTCCATATGCGTGACTGAGATAGGGACACTTTTGCTTCATGATGGTTCATCATACCCAAACTTTTGCTCATGCGCAAAAATATTCAAACTATCTATAGTTTTTCTTCTATAAATATTAATGCATATGTATGTGCCTCAAAGACTTCTCTACAGCTTGGTGATCTGGACCAAATTTGGTACATATGTCCTACATTGTTCAAATTGAAATGCTGGTGGGATTTACTGGTAAACTACAAAATCAATCCCTTTCAAGGTACAGAGGCCCCATCACAAAAACTGGGTCAGGCAGGAATCCCCTCACAAAAAGAAGGCTTTTAGTGGGCTCCCATTCCTCCCATGATATCTTAAATCTCATGATGGCAGGCTGGCAGCCATTGTGAGGTAAGAAGTTTATTCTGTCAGCCCAACCCAGCCCAGCCAGAATGGAGGAAGAGGGAGCTCGACATCAATCCCAATTGCAGTAAAGGAGTGCCCCAAAATTTTCCCTTCCTGCATTCTGTACTACAATCAATGAAGCAGTGGCCCAGTGAAACAAGTGCTAGCAGTGTCCATGTTCTTCTTGTGGTCTA